CAAAACTTACCGATAATAACCCGCTAAGTTCGAAATTTTAATCAGATATAATCAAAGTTACCAATAATAACCCGGTTAGTTTCTGTTCCTGTTAGTTTGCAATTGTAATCAAACATTACAAAACTCACTGATAATAATCCGGGTTAGTTTGCACTTTCAATCAGAAATTATCAAATTTACCGATAATACCCCTGTTAGTTTGGGTAAGATTGCAATTTCAATCGAACATAACCATTTTGTTTTCAAAATTTTTGTTAGTTTGAAATTTATTGTAATCAAACATTACCAAACTCAAACCTACTGAGAATAACCCGGTTAGTTGGGGTTAGTTTTCAATTTTAATCAGACATTTTAAAACTTACCGATGTTATAACCTGGTTCGCTTGCTATTTTAATCAGACATTACCAAACTTACCAATAATAACCCGGTTAGTTTGGACATGCTTCAAAACTATCGCAATTTTTGTTTTCGAAAAATAAATATACAGGGTGTCCCACGGTGGATGGCGTATTAGACGTTTATGGAGAACTAAAAAGCGGATCATTTTGAAAATTTGGCAACCGGGATAAACGACCATGATCTTCACTTTAAAAATATTTCTGATCATACGGTGTTGCCGCTTTTACTCTAAACCAGTGGCAACATCGCTATTTTTAATAAAAAATCCTGTATGTGATTGCATATTTCGATTCTACGTAAAATTCTGAGCAGATTTCATGTGATATACTCTATACCTAAGTTCAACTGTTTTGGAAATATTGACAGTTGAAAATTGACTTTTTGCAACTTTGACAGGCTGTAAAACCGGAACGGTTAATTTTAGAGGAAAACCGATTTTACATTCGTATCTGAGATTTTTATAAACTATCATTTGACACCAACTTTGAATTTAACCCGAGATTAAATTTATTTGGAATTTTTAATCATGGATTAAATTCAAAGTTGGTGTCAAATGATAGTTTATAAAAATCTAAGATAGGAATGTAAAATCGGCTTTCCTCTAAAATTAACCGTTCAGGTTTTACAGCCTGTCAAAGTTGCAAAAAGTCAATTTTCAACTGTCAATATTTCCAACAGTTGAACTTAGGTATAGGGTATATCACATAAAATCTGCTCAGAATTTTAAGTAGAATCCAAATATGCAATCACATACAGGGTGTTCCATTTGGAATGGCGATATTGCCACTGGCTTAAAGTAGAAGCGGCAACAGCGCATAAACAAAAATATTTTTAAAGTGTAGATCATGGTCGTTTATCCCGGTTGCCAAATTTTCAAAATGATCCGCTTTTTAGTTCTCCATAAACGTCTAATACGCCATCCACCGTGGGACACCCTGTATAGTGGAATTAATTAAACAGTGTATGCACGTGATCAAAGTTAATGACATAAGCACGTCGCAATGTTGCCGCTATTAACTTTCGTTTTACTTTGACATACCATGTCTAGTAAAATTTGTTGTCACAAAAAATGCAAAGCCATCGATTTTTATAAGTATAGATAGTGTATTATGAACACAATCTAAAAAAACTACTCACTTTTCGTCGTAAATTTGATTGCGAATAGAGCTAACATCAAGGTGATCTTAATTCGTAACCCGCTTCTTATGTGGACGTTTTTTCTTTGGTGAATTTACCGCTAAATTATCCCTAACTTTTTGAGAGATTTTACATTGGATTTTACTCACAGTGGTTATACCAATATTCAGTGCAGCTGCATCACGCTGGAAAAATATTCTCAATTAAAGCCCCAGAAGATTTATATTTGATAGTATCAATATACTTCACCTCTCTAACGCTATTTGATGGCAAAAAGGGGCCCCCATTATCTCGTTCTTGTTCAAAGAAACTAATAAGAGACACAACGAGTTTCTGACTCTGACTATTCAATGACTTTTGCATTTTATAGCACAAAACATCCCCCCTTAGAAATGTAAGTCTTATGAGAGACGTCAGTCTATCGTTTCAGCTTTCCCCTCCAATCACTAGAGGCGCTTCAATCAACCTATTAAAGTTTTCTTTTTCTTGCCGGACCGTGCGCCAAGATTTGAAGTTTATTTTGTCATTTTCAGTCGTCAAAATTTAAATTTTGAACTTCTCCCAACATTTAGAATTATCAATTAACTATCAATTATCAATAATTATTATCTCAAAATGTCTTCTCCCAGTTTGTTAATTGAAAAGCATCAGAAATGCTGTGTTCCGGGGTGCGGCGACAAATACAGCAGCTATTTCCGGTTTCCAATAGATGCCGAAAAAATGAAACAATGGCTAATCAAAATTCGCAATCCTTTACTAAATAGCCTCAGTGTCGAGAAGGCTTATAATAATTATAGAGGGTGAACAAGACATTTTCCTCGAGAATTTATTTTTGACGATCTAAAAGCCAGACGAGGACTCACATGGAATGCTGCGCTTTTGCTGTATCTCCCTGAAGGTAAGTTAATACTAGATATATGTGAGAAAGACGTACTTACATTTTCACTTAATCCTCCCCATAGTTCTCATTAACGATAACGTGTTAGAATTCGGGTTTAAAGGAGCATAGGTCAGAAACATTAAAATTAATTTTAATTTTAGCCCCAATTATCAAAAACAGTGAGGAGTCGTTAATTGATAAACCACAATCACCAAAATGGCAAAAAGTGGAGATCGACACAGTTGAAACTCGTCGAAGAGTCCTAAGACGCCTTCAGAAATTAGTTTCGCAACTATGATTGACATAGGTAGGTAAACATAATAACTCTGTTCCAACACGTCAAAAAATCGTCCCATGAACGGTTTCGAAAGCACTCAGTATAACAATTTTAGTTTCTGCGCAGAATCGTGACGGTTTTCTGCTGTGTTGGAACAAAGCTAATATTATTCATTTCTTTTTTTTAAATGTTTATTCCTTTATCAGGAGACACAATAATTAAAATATTCCTGGTTACATACAGGTACACCATATTCTACAATGCGTGTATCCAAACTTTTTTGGTAAAATCATTGGTAACGAAATTTCTGTTTTAGATCAACCAGGCCCTTCATGTCGTCAATTTTTATCTACTGAAACTTCTGCAATTCGGGCAAACTTTTATTGGTAGGTACCTAAGTGTTATTGCTTAATGAATAACCACCCAGTTGGGAGTAGGTGAATTTTAAAACATCCTAACTGAAGTAGGACTACTACCATAAAAGACTACTAATTACTAAAACTTGCAGTCGAATGCTAGAAAAATTAGAAGCTAAATGTGCGAAAAACTCGTCTCCAATCTTGATCTATTTTTTTTTTGCAGGTCATGAGAGACGATGCCAAATTTTAAAGAACATTAAGGTCACTAGGCAAAAATTCCTATCCCCAACGGAAAAATATCTTTATTCCAAAGTTATAGAATCCAGCAATAAGTTAAGAAGAATCAGTAGAAGGTTGTCGTCATTTAAATCCAAAGTTTCTGCTGCTGAATAACTTGCAAAATAAACCAAATTTCAAAGGCTCGTAGACCACGTCAATCCATTGATATACAGCTTTATTTTAAGCCAAGTCCGTACTCAAAACCAAAAGCCTAAAGCTAGACGATTTACATTGGACGAGAAGTTGTTGGCGTTGTCTTTGCTTAAAGCTAGTGGTAAAGGGTATAGACTATTATCAAAAATATTTATTCTATCATTCAGGCAAAATCAGTTTCTTGAATGAGCTTTATATTATGTATAACTACATAAACTTTCTACCTAACACATGCGGAAAGTGTATTTTCTGGACTTAAAGGCTTGTCCGAACTCTGCTTTTTGTTGTCATTCGTGCAACTTCGATCATGTGCAGAAACACTTTCCTCACTTGGTAGGTTAACAACGATTTTGGATTGTGAGAAAAGGACCTCTTTTGTCATTTTATTTACGATTTAAGTTTTTCATCAAGCTGTACGTCATTACTTCTTGTAACTGTCCTTATTATCTTTATACTAGCATTACCTACCTATGTATGTATACTTACATGAAAAAAAAACTGTTTCGCAATAATTGTAATTAATTCCATATTCTATTATATTTTCTGTTTCAAACTTTAATAAATATCTAAATTTGTCATCTTAATTCTTAGTCAATTTTACCTTGAAGGCGCTTCAACACTAACGATTTTATGAGTTTCTTCTTTTTGGCACAATTACTTTATGCCAAAAAATGGTAGAAACTTTAAAGTGGTAGTGTTGACTCGCTAGAATCAAACAATGGTGCAAACGATCCACCGGAATGAATAAGATACCGAACGAACCCTAATTGCGTTTTGCATTCGCCAATAAATCCAGAATTACAAAAGCTGACCCCCCCAGTCACTAGAGGCGCTGAAAACTTATAGACAGGTTCTCAACACGGCACTTACCTTTCTAAGGGGGGATGTTTTGTGTTTTATAGATACACAAATAGAAATTTCAAATTATTAAAATCAGTAACCGCAGATTTGCAGCAGTATTTGGCAACATAACCCATGAGTGCCAACCTAAATGTCATTTTATCGGCCGATTCGGTTAAATGCCAACAGTGTTCTGTCTTTTTTTAACTAAGGTTAAATAAAAAGGAGAATGAGCTCCCAGCTTGAAACGAATTTTAATTTCTTACAATCTGCAATTGGCAATAATTTCGACGTCATTGATCACGTGCATACACTGTTTAAATAATTTCACTAACATAGACATGTGTGTAATGTCTGCGAACTAACCCAAATTGCAGTAATATCTGATTAAACAGAAAAAGTGTAAGCTCGAACATGAAAATATTTTACAATATCAGTATGGCTCTACGCTCTCGTATTTTTGAGTCATATAAGGAGGTTTTTTTTTTCTAAAATAATAGACTATTCAATACCCTATCCAGCGTTATTCACCTCCTGCTGCGAGCCCGCAGAGCCGGCCGCTTGAACAAAAACCGTCCCGGGCCGATTCAAAGTTGCCCATCCGCCCCTGGCTATTGGTTCATTTTTCAATCCATGAGCAACTGTTTTTAGACGACTGATATCTGGAGGGCACACAAATGGTTTTATAAATTCGTCATTAAAAAGTTTTCTTCTACAAACAAAACCAAATTTTGAGGCGGTAAACCGAAATTTACGAAGATCTTTCCAAAGGTCGTTCTGGTTCTGCGTTCTTGTCTTTTTCTCTATTTCTGCTGCTTGCTCCATAGAAATTGGTTGTAATGAGGCGTGGTGGACTGGCGCCAAACTTATTAGGATGTCAACCATTTCTTTATCATCTAATGGCAATGCTATAGGTAGATCGTCCAGGTGTTCATCCCTCTCAAGACCTGTTGTAGCAGCAACATTTTTGGTCCCAGCACGAGCCATATGTCCCAATAGCGAGGATGCTGGCACATTTATTCCTATAAGTTAAAAAACATCAGAATTAGATAAATAATAAGTATACAAATCTGCTACATACCATTTTGTAGAAGTATTGTTCTATCATTTGCCATGTTTTCAGTACATAGTGTACTAGCAAATGGTATGGACGGGTTAATTTCTTTTAAAACAGTTTTTAGGTTTGTGATACTAGCTTGGTTGATTTTCTTCAACTCATCATTCCTTATGGGGTTTTTTATTTGACAAATAACTGGTTTTTTTGTCCTTTTTATGTTGTTTGGGTCAATAAAAACACTTTCAGGTATTTTTTCTGCAGTTATTTTGTTCCCTCTTGGCTTATTCCATTCCATTGGGATTGAAGTGCATGATGCACTTTCTGGGACTTCTTTAAAGCCATTCAAAATTAAATGCTGCAGAAAGTAAGCCAGCCCAACAACGTGGTTGCAAGATTCGGAGTTCCTATAAAAATAAAATAATTTCATTAACACTGGTAAATATAATGTAACAAATTATCGTTTTCTTACCCCGCCTCACATGTACAGTGAGCTTCCACCATAAGGTCCACTGATGCAAATTTTAAATGAAGGCTATGCGGCTTCTCATTCTTCTTCTGGCTCCTATAGCATTTCGCCTTGATGGTACACTCATTCTTGTGTATGAACACATCATGAATATACCCCTCAGCAAAAAATTTATAGCCACGATCGCTCTGCCTGTGTGTCCACGATTTTTTTGTGAAAAAGGCTGCTGAAATTCCAAAGTGAAAGCCTTTGAAAAGGGAGAGATCTTTCACCCAAAAACTACTATCAGCCATATTATCAGGAGTAATCACTAAACACAATATCAACACTATAATATCCAAGGATAATAACAATGAAACTGAAACGAAAATAAAACACACGAAGAAAGCTGACAACTTGCTTGAACGAAATTCAAAGAATGAATGAACCCTCCCGAGGGCCTTAACTCCCTTAATATCTCGCTTAATATGCATTTTACTTGATTTTACGACAATAATTTGAATAATCATCATTATAATCTTGAATAAATAAATAAATAATCAACCTAACCTAGCCCCTAGTCAGTCGGGGTGTCAGGTGGGGTGGAGCGTGTTCGTTCAGGTACTAGGTACGACTCGTCGGTTGATCCTTTTCTCCTTGTCTTGATATGCAAATAACAAAGATGGGACGATCAAACCCACCGCTCCAATGAACTTGACACAGGATCGAACATCTTGTTGACCGTCAGGGCTTTCATAAGACAAGAACAAAAAATGTGCTCTCTCTCGCACTTATGTTTGCGCAGCTTTTAAATGTATACCTCCAGTGGCGCGTGAAATATATCGGGTTCTCTGTCTAGCGAGCTCAAATCCGTATTTGCATCTTCGTTTATCACAAAATAAATAGGTCTAATAGACCTATTGTCGTGCAGCATTGTTGTACGTTTGTGACTGATTAGAATAATTATTATTTCTTGGATTATCATTATTTTGAGAATAGTTATTTCTAGAATAATTGCTGGAATTTGAAGCATTATTTTGATTAGAATACGAGTTAGGAGATCGATCAACGTGTAGGTAAGTATTATGCTTAAGGTTGCATTTTTTGCACCCACTTGACATGCATTCTGATTTAATGTGGCCTGACCTAAGACAATTTCCGCAAAGTTTATGATTTCGAATTTCATTATATTTTTCAGCAATAGACAAACTATTGAATTTCGGGCAATGATAGATAAAATGATTCTGATTGCACACGTGACAATTATTACTGGCTTCTCTTCCGCGGTTTTCCATTACTGGAAACGAAAGTCTACGAGGATTTGACATTTCTCTATTCGCGTTTTTCAAGTGATAACCTTTATCAGAGTTTTTTTCAAAATGCGTGTTTTTATTTGAACCTTGTTTTACAAAATCTTGATTTACTGCTTCAAGCGCAAAGCATTTCTTTGTTAAATAGTCTGTTAAATCTGTAAGAGTGGGTAAATTATTGCCATTTTGCTTATTTTCCCATTCCCTACGAGTCCTTTCATCTAACTTTTGCAAAATCATTGTGATGAACAGCATCTAAAAGTTTCCTGATATGTGTGGCCGATTCTTTTATAACGTTGGGTAGATTAAACAAAATGTTATTGACGTGGTAATTTATAATAGCTATTTTATTGTCAAAACGTTTTTCCAAGAGATTCAATGCGATAGTATAATTATTAGCCGTTACGTCCAGAGCTTCAATCAATTTAAGCGCCTCATCCTTACAGCAAATTTTCAAGTACCTAAAAAATTTATCAATATCACTCAAATCAGTTCGATTATGTATGACCGAATTAAAAATGTCGCGAAAGCTGTACCAAGTTTCATATTTGCCGTAAAAACTGGGTAAACCTAAATCAGGAAGCCTGGCGACACCAGCACCTGTATTACCAAGTACATTCCCGTGTGCGTTTTGTATTGTATTATTCGCGATATTTACTTTTTGTTCATTACGTTCATTTGCAATTAATCGTTTAGCCTGCGATATTAACGAGTAAAATAATGATTTAGTATCCAATCTAAAATCCTTTTCATCATTGTCTAAAAATTCTAAGCGCGTCTGTACCTGGTCAAACTCCGAAAAATCGTCCTCAACGCTTTTAAGCCTGATTTCGAGTTGAAAAATATCAATGGGTTCGTCATTGGTTAAATAGTCTTCGAAGCGTTGAAGCCTATCACAAATTACTGATCTTGCGTGTAAAAATTCTTGAGTTTCAATTGGCATAACATCATCATTATTATTTTTCGAGTTATTTTTCTTATTACGAGGCATTTTTATTTATTATTATTTATTTATTTTTTTTATAACTTTCGATAAAATCAACTTAAAAGTTCAATGTTTCGTGTTTCGAGACGAGAAAACGAGAATTTATATACGTGAACGAGACCTGAAAAATACGTGAAACGAGGCGTGAGAAACACGTGAAACGAGACCTGAAAATTACGTGAAACGAGGCGTGGTTTAAATTCGAGGCGAAATTATGCGAGAAATAAATGATAACGAGATTACGTGCTTAATTATTACGTGCAATACAAGATTTACGTGCAATACGAGCTTTATTTACGTGCAAAACGAGATTTATTTACGTGCAATGCGAGATTTACCGCAAAAAAATGGATTAAATCAACAAATAAATTATTATTAATCACACCGAGACTATACAAACTTTCAATTATGATTGGAATCATGGATAAAATAAGAAAATATAAAGGAACGAGCTCACCATTGACGGCTTCTTCAGTATTCCACAGGTTGCATCAATAAATTCACATCCGACCGAAGTGACCAAAATGATCCTCTGTTGAGGACTTTCGAAGGACCACCCTTTATTATAGGTCAAAGGGAACCCAAACACATTAACGAGAATTAATACTTTAATTGATTAACCATTTATTGCGGTACAAAACGAATTTTTAATTGATTATTAGTCAAACAATAACAACGTGATGTCGTGACATGCTCTCGAATCCGTCTCTTCTTATTGGTCGCGCCGAGCGATCCTATTGGTCGCGCTGAGCGATCCTATTGGTCGCTTGCCGTTCTTCCTGCAGCTGTTCTTGCGCGTTGCCAGATCCTTTTGAGTTGCTAGGTTTATTACGGCGTTGCCATGTTTAAGAATGTTGCTACACTTTTGTTCAATATAACAGTCTGATATAAGAAATTTGATTTGAATGTTCAAATAGATTTGAATGTCCAAACACTATAGATTCACTTTGCTCTTTCGAAATGCCAGCATTATATATAGTACCTACTTCTTGTAATTTCTGGTCCTATACTAAAAGGCTTCAGCTTGCCTTTTCTGGAAAAGGATGCGGTATAATTACATCCAGTAGAAGCATGAAAAGTTGGTGGAGATTTGTACATGCTGGATCTCAATTTATTAAAGATTGCACTCACGTCAACAAATCTACAGGTATTTTCAGATGCAACTCCAACTATACATCGACGTTTTTATTAATTTTGTGTAGATTCCCTAGCAGTGTCAGAACCACGAACTACCCCATTATTATTTGCGGTATTTGCTTCAATTTTTGACAAAGGAAAGATTATTCGGCTGTCAGCTTCTTCATGGAAACACTTGAAGGTATCAACAATTTCTCTATGTATATGTCCTGGGACAACAGTAAATTTGTAACAATCTTTATTGCAATTGACATATATAGTTTTATTACTCACAATTTCAACAAACATATCATTTTGCCAAAACTGACATAAAAATTTGATCAAGGACTGTATAAAATTGTCGTTTCGCATTGCCTTCATAAAATCTGATGAACGTTGTTGTTCAGAACCCTGAATTAAGAATTCCATACTACTTTTATATAAATTTGCTCGTTTATCACGCTCAATATCTTATTTTTATACTGACGATATGGACGATGAAATTGAAGAGATAATGCATGATTCTTCTGATGATGAACAATAGAAATTGATTTGATACCCAAAAAATTTAAAAAAGAATCTTAATATCATTATTTTTCAAATATTATTTTGTCATTTTTTCCTATATTTTGCTAACCTTTTCAGCTCGTGCCATATTTTTATTAGGTAATATTATTTTGGTTTAAGTATGATGCAGTCGAAGAGTTTCTTGAGTCTAAGTCATATTTCACTACTTTCTGGTTAGATTTCTGAAATTTTAGATTTTCTATATGTGGCATTTTTATTATTTTTGAATGCTAAAAGTTCCTATTCACTTTTTCGTCTTTTATACCTGTTTTATTTTACGTATTTTTCGTTTGTATCTATCTATATTTAAGTTTATATTTTTTGACTGTTTTCGACTCTCTAAAGCTCCTATTTACTCCTTTACATGTTATGTAGCTTTTTAAGTTTAAAGGAGTAGATATCTTCAATAGGTATCTACTAGCTTCTACCCTTATAAAAAGTTTCGCAACTGTTCCATTTTTTTTTTTTATGAATATGTTTTATTTTATAGTTTTTAGGTAACGCACATGCCTATAATTTGGCCAGAATTATTTATTTTGTTAATAAATTTTGTAGTTATTTATTAAATATTTCTTATTTTATGCTGTATTAACAACAAAATCTAAATTTTCTAGAGCGTCTGCAACTTGTTGTTGACCGTCTGCCGAATTTTAAAAAATATTTGTTTACTCTACACACAAATACCTTTCATTTAAGCCCAAATTTGAATATGTACCTCATAAGGTAACTTACGTCAGATTTTCGGCGTCGCGGCGGGCGTCTGCTTTACATAGGCGTCCAAATATCGACGTCTGCCGGCCGAATTAGGTATCTAGGAGCTTTTCCCTTACACATTCTGAAATTTTTAGGCATGTACCAATGAGGTGAGAAAACCCAGATTTTCGTCTTTTTGACGAGCTGTCATTTGTGAAGTTGACCGCTGGACCCCGGCAGACGGCCGATTATGAGATATGCACATAAAGTACTTTCATCCAAGAAACTCGAACCTTTTGTACCCGATGAGGTGACTTATTTGCTTCTCGGCCGTAGGTCTAATAGCTTCCTATCTAGGAAGCTAAAAATATTGAAAGTAGTATTTTCCATGATCCAAAAAATTTTTGGAGCTTTATTTGGAATAAAAGACAAAATAGTATTATCAGCAACAATTTCACTTATGATAACAATGACTTCACTGATAAAAATGACATTGCGAATGCCTTATTTGCTATTTTTTTTGAGAGTGTGTATACTATTTCTCTATGATTGAATCCAACGGCCATCAATCAAAAATTGAATGCTCATCATCATAACTTAAAATTTCTTCTATTATTTATATTAGAGAAATGAGAAAATATTCTGTGATCATAAATATTA